GGTGGGGGGGGGAGAGATTGGTGAAGTAAATAATGAAAAACTCCTCATGGAATAAACTTAGCAGGGCAATCAAGTGACATCTATTAGACTGGGACTAGGGTGTCCTTTGGTTCAACTCGCTTGTAAACCGAAGGGAAAAGCAAAAAAGTGCAAGACAGTCTAAGTCACAGCTTGGTTCACCGAGGGTTTTGAAACATTTGCAGACAGAAGGCTAATTTTTTGAGACAAGGAAGCGCGTCACTCAGAATGCTGTAGGGTTAGGATCTTGCTCGATTTCCCCCTGTCCGCCCATTAACTTGCTACCGGAGACAACAAACGTTCTGCCGTAGGATGCATACTACACATAATACACAGACAGCTTACTAAGGGTGCAACAGACCAGGAGCAGACAGCTATTAAACCGCCAACCGTCATCAGTTAATCGTAGGCCTTACGAAGGGAGTTATATGAACATGCCAAGTAAGCGCGTCACCACATAGGCAATCTTCTTCTTTCCATTCGCATGTAAAAAAAGTTATATAAACCGATTTTCAACCCAATTGTTTACTTGACCGAAAACAATGAGGTCATCAGCGCACGATGCTAGCGCCGATTTGAAGGAAGTCTAGCTTGACCTACATTTTGCGACAATTCGAGGACATATTTCTCCACGACGTCGACAGTTGCAGTGTTTGGCCGCTATTACGAATTGCTTGAGGTTCCGCAGGTATTGTGTGATTTGTGTGCCTTATCTTTTTCATGGGCAATGGAGGACGCTTTTGCTGAACATTATGGAATGAGATTTTCAAAATAAAACGCACCTCCTTCTCTCTCTCTCTCTCTCTCACACACACACACACACACACACACACACACATAAAAGGTGCGTTCCCCTACTTCACCTAGGAAACTCCTTAAATCCAGCAAGCGACATTGCCTATCTTCGGAGCGATTCTTTTCATGGCACTGATTAGGCTGTATCTGTCAAAAATGCACAGCTCACGTGGCCTCCAATCGGTCTCCAGACCATGCAGTTGCCCTTGCCGCGTACATATCTCAGTTTTAGATAGGCTACGCCAGCGGGCGAGAGCTAATCACTGGCAAATCATTTAGCCATCACACAAACTACTTTGCTTCGCGTTCCCTTATCGCTAAAATTGGCGTCCAACTAATGCGCCTAGTTCGTTGTAAATACTAGCTGATAGCTAACGGTGTTCTTCCTTAAATTACTGTGTCTTAACGAGGATGAAAAGACATACTCGGAGTCATTTGGGCTGTCTTACTCAATAATACATCTCTTCCCCCCCAAGTCTACGCAGATTAATCCGATGCTATTGAAAACACGTGTATAGCAGGATGAATACATAGGGGGGTAGAAGCACTCACCTTGCCATAGCTTCCTCGTCCAATTGTTTCCCCCAGGAGGTAGCGACCACCCACAACTTTGGGCGGTTTTCTATGTGGCTGGTTGTAGGTGAAGCAGAAGGGGGCACTGGAATCCAGCCTATCAGACTCCAGAAAGGAACGTGCGTAGGAGACAGCTTCAGGCGGCGTGTGTTGCGATCTACTTCCCTGAAAGGTAAAAAACAGTAGCACAAGCCATTAAAGGAAGACGAACCCGAAGCCCTCCCTCACCCAGATTTAGCAGATCTGCTCAGTATTCAGATGTGCAAAAAGTCAAAAAAACGAAAAAGCTCCGTCGCAAAATCTTTCAGACTAGATGCCGACCGGGGTCTCACGTGAGAAAGGATTCTACAAAAGCCACTACGAGGAGCCAGAATTTTAGTTCTGAGAGGACCGAGTTACCTCTCAGTCACTTGGCAACCCTTCAAGCTACGACTTGTAATAGATCATGATAGACTCAAGCGTACTATAGGTATTACAGTGAGGAGAACGCTGATTAACTTACGGGATGGACTTCCAGTGCCGAACTTATTCTTCCTGTCCTCTCACATGCACTAGCCAACTGTACGAGCTTGTCATGCATGCACACACACACCGAGTCAATGTAAAATGGGAGGACCGCGAGACAGCCTTACAAGGTTGTTTGGTTTCAGTGCAGGTTGATGGAACTTTATGCTTATGAAAACGCGTTACGGATGACGTGGATGTGCAGGTTACTTTAGCTTA